TAAAGCCTAAGGACCACTTATGATACATAAAATAAAATACATAGGAAACCAATTATATTTAAATATGGTTCTCAAAAAAGAACCTCTGCTCTAAATGGATGCATCATTTTAAAGCCCTAGCCCTTCCCTTGCTATCCATCCTAGTTCTCAGAAAAGGGTATCAAAACTAGCACTCTCTCAGGCATTATCTGTCAAATTCTGGCCACAGAAGATTTTCATCAGTCCTCCAGGCAGCTACGTGGTGCAATTTAGTTCAGTTCAGCAAACATTTATTGAGCAACTACTATGGGGTCCTGTACATTTATTCTTTCAGGTCAGTTAGTATTTAAAAGAATATTAAGAATACTGAACTAGGAATCAGGAAACCTCAGTTTTAATCTTGGCTCTACCAACGTCAGCTATGTATCCATGTATGTGTAACATACATGGTTTCTAACATGAAATCTTAAGATTTAGAATTGGAAGAGACCTTAGAGATCATCTAGTTAAAACTTTTCACTTTACAGAAGAAGAAACAAAGGCTCAGGGAGGTGGAGGTATCTGCTTTAAATTCATTGACAGTAAGTTGGAAGAGATGGGATTTACATACGGGTCTGTGACTGTAACTCTATTGTATCTGACACTTAATAAATGGCTTTTTTCCTTCCTTAACCCATTTGAAGTGCAGTTATGCAATTAGTAAGTGCTTTTAAGGTAGGTTTTACAGTGTTACTATACTGATTGCTTGGGGAAGTGATTTAGACGTATCTTATGCATCAGGATTTTATTATTATTATTATTATTCTTGTTGTTTTTTATGTTCTATTTATTATTTGGTTTTTTTGGTGGGCAATGGGGTTAAGTGACTTGCCCAGGCTCACACAGCTAGTAAGTGTTATGTGTCTGAGGCCGAATTTGAACTCAGGTCCTCCTCAATCCAGGGTTGGTGCTCTATCCACTGCACCACCTAGCTGCCCCTGCGTTAGGATTTTAGCAAAGCATTTGACAAAGTCTATCACAATACACTTATGAACAAGATAGAAAAGAAATATGGTTATGGTAGTAAGTTAAATGGATTCACAGCAGGCTGATCTTTTCTTTGATAACTGTTGGAAATTTATAAGAAATTTACAAGACATAGGGTTAAATTTATATAAAAGCCTGCTCTTAAGTTACCACAAATAGAATGGGATATACCTGGTTTAGTAGTAATTTGTCAAAGCTTTGTAAGTTTTAATTTACTACATGCTCAGCAAAAGTTAAATATAATATGGTTGCCAGATCAATTGTACTTTGCTGCCCCATACGGAGGCATTCCAACTCTTCTGAGCCTTGGTTTCCCTATCTGTAAAATAAGGATAATAGTACACAGAGTTGTTGCGAGGATCAAATAAAAATGATGTAAATTAATTAGGAAACTTTAAAATACTAAATGGAAGCTATTATTTAAGTTAATGTGTGCCAATGCTTAGTGATTATTTGCCCTAATTATTAAAAAATTATCAGTTCTAATTTTGTCAGTTATCAATTATCAGTAATTCTTAGGAAAAGAATTAATATCTTTTAAATTAATGAGTAAGAAAAAGTATTTTTCATTATACAAATATACTGTATAAACAACATTTAAAAACACATGTACTCTCGGAAGTCTACTTGCCAAGACTCACAGGAACTATATAAATATAACCTTCACCTTACACAAACACAATAATTGGATAATATTGGATTATCTAAATAACTGGAGAAATATTCATTGCTCATGAATATGCTAACCCAATAAAATCAAAAGAGCAATATTACTTATTTAAAAGAAGAATATTTACTTATTCAGTATCATACCAATCAAACTAACAAAGAATTACTTTTACAGAGTTAGAAAAAAAATCTGGAAGAAGAAAAGATCTGTAATCTCAAGGGAAATAACAGGGGAAAAAAAAGGGGCCTAGGAGTACCACATCTCAAACTACATTACAAAGTAGTAATTATGAGAAACAGTTCGGTACTGGTTAAGAAATAGAAAGCCCCGATCAGTGGAACAGATCAAGTACACAATATACAGAAGAAAACAAGCAGAGTAACTCAGTGTCTGATAAACCCAAGGATCCCAGTAATTGGGGTAAGAACTCACTATCTGACAGAAACTTCTAGGAAAACTATAAATAAAACAGGTAGAAACTAGGTACATTACAAACTGTATACCAAGACTTTAAGCTCCCAAGGGGTACCTGATTTAAATATAAATGGGGAAATCAAGAGGAACATGGAAGAAATTACTGGATAGGGGAAGAGTACATGATCATATAAGGGAGAGAAAGGATCACAGAAGGCAGACAATTTTGATTACATATTTGATTTGATTCTCCTGTTCCTTTCCCTTCTTCATCGTTCATATTCAATGAGTTGCCAAATCTTACCATTCTACCTCCACATCTCCCACATCCAACCCTTTCTACTACCTCATTCAGTTCACCCACTTACATGGTTTATGCTTTCCCTAACACAAGTCCCTCCTCCCCACTCCCCAATCCATCTTCCACTCAGCTGCTAAACTGATATTCGTAAAGCACATATCTAAAACACTACATTGCTTAAAAAGCTGAGGCTTAAAAAAACTGAGGGTCCTCTGTTGCCTGCAGGGGCACCAAATATAAACTCTGGTTTATCATTTAAGTCCTTCATTTGGCTCCAGCTCACCTTTCCAGTGAAACTATTCTGGTGAAACTGACCTACTTGCTATTCCTAGCACTGACAAGTGTATAAAGTGTTGGATTTGGAATCAGGAATTTGGTGCAAATCCAGCCTCTGAAACTATTAGTTATGTGACCTTGGTCAAGTCATACAAAACTCTCTGAGCCTCAGTTTTCTCATTTGTAAAATAGGGATATTAATAATAGCAGGATTTTTGTGAGAAGTAATAAGAATAATATGTAAATCTTTAAGTACCATATAAATTCGAACTATTATTAAACATAACATTCCACTTCTGATCTCCATGATTTTGCACAGGTTGTGGCTCATGCCTGAAATGTATTCCTTTACACCTTCCTTATTCAGAGCACTGTGACCTCTGAATGCTCTAAATTTCTTTACCTAAAACAATACTTGCCTAAGCTTTTTCATGTGTATCTTTGTATGTAACTAAATATGAACATCAGATGAAAATTAAACTGAAAAAAAAAGTGTGCTAGATATTTAAAAACTGAATTTTAAGATGGAAAATTGTTTATCAAGTATGTGCTTTTCAGCAGAAATAAAAATTACCACTTCCAATGATACTAATTGAGAAAAATTTCATTTCTGAAAACAATAAACAAGTGCAAGTAGTAAAAGTGCTCTGTGCCTCAAGGACCTAAAAAGAAAGTAAACCCTTTCATATAAAGGGCTATAAAATGTTATTTAAACAATAAAAACAAAGAAATGGAAGAATAAACAGTGATGAATCAAACACCACAAGGCAGAGTTAAATATTGCTTAATATGGCTTATAACTTAACAGAGAGAAATGCTGATAATACAATCGATTTATATTAATGGCCCTTGCATATTTTTATTATTGCTGTAACTGATTTATAAAAAGACTGTAAAAGAAAAACAATGAAATATGGTGTTAGATTCCATATTGCCAAAATGATCTATCCAAAGCACATGACATTTTATCAGGAGTCTATGATGACTCATTAAAGGACGTTTTGTATTCCTAGAGTGTTACAAAAAGTCCTTAATGAGTCATCATAGATTCTTGTATTCCTAGAGTGTTTACAGAACAACTAGTTAAACAGAGCACCAGGTCTAACATCAGGAAAACTATCTTCGAAGTTCAAATCTGGCCTCAGACACTTTACTAGCTGTGTGACCCTTGGCAAGTCACTTAACCTTGGTTGCCTCAGTTAACTCATCTGTAAAATGAGCTGGAGAAGGAAATGGAAAACCAGTCCAGTATCTTCGAAAAGAAAACCTCAAATGGAGTCACGAGAGTTGGATATGACTGAGACAAATGAACAACCAGTGTTACAGACCATATCTTTGAGCCTTCCAAAAAGTGCCCCTAACTCATATTTCTTTCATTTAAGATGACAAACTTTAATATTACTTCCCGTAACTTTTTACAACATCAACATGGTCACAAGTAAGCAGGGATGATCTCTTAACATTACTGAGTTTCAACTAAAAAGAATGGTAACATTATATCCAAATATTTTTAGGTTCAAAGCAGTCATTACATAAAGTTGGCCAGAAACAATTATGTCACTATTACACAAACATTTTGTTTGAGAAAAATAAGTCCTTCGGTGTCAAAACAGTGACTTAAAGGTCTTCTGAAGCACTTTAGGTAAAAGAACTTCAAAGCTAAGGCTTGTTTAAAATGTTATCTATATATAATTGTACAAACAAGCCACTCTCTGAAAAAATTAGTGGTAGCACACTGATAACTTCAGTGTACATCCCATATTTTTTAAGTTGAATACATAACAGAAAAATCCATTTGAAGATTTTTCTAGCTTGCCACATTTAATAAATATTGTACAAAAAAGCATTTTAAAAGAGGCATACGATAAATATGTTTTTAAAGGAAAGATTCTCTTTTTCCATTTACAGAAATTCTCTAATAAGATCAGTTTACTAACACCAATTTCCTGCAAAAGAAAATATCCTTCTTTTTGGGAAAAATCAAACTCAAACATTATATATAAATAAATATATTTTTTAAAAAGCTACTTTTGGTACATTTACAAACAGAAAAAGATAACTTATCTGAATAGATTAAATAAAAACGAAGGAATAGAGCTGATTAAACTATATCTTGTTATCTGTAACCTTGGGCAAATCATTTGACATCTATGTACAAGTTTACCCAACTATAAATTAAAAGACAATGCTTATCACAGAGGTGTTTTAAGGCAGTTTTACAAGAGGATCCAAACAAGAGAACACCTGGTAGTCAGTCAATACTAATGAATACCTTCAGAAAAGGTCTAAATTGTAACCACTTAAAAGTGATAAAAATACAGTCCTTGAACTTACCTTTAACACTTTTTCTATTAACATCAGCCCCCTTTTCAAGTAAATACTGAGCAATTTCTTTATGTCCTTTGTAACATGAAATCATTAAGCATGTATGACCATGACGGTTTGAAACTTCCAAATCAGCTTTGTGTTCCACAAGGTACTTTACTATTTCCAGGTGACCATCAAAACAGGCAGCCCTAAGAGGAGTTGAATTAGTCAAAGTTGTGTTGTTGACAGATGCTCCATGGTCTAACAAAGACTGGACTACCTTCAAATGTCCTGCTGCTGAAGCTGCCCATAAAGGTGGAGCCCCCTCAATAGTTTCACCATCAAAATTCACAGAGCCTCCAATCTCTATGGAG